ATTTCAGGGCGTGGGGTAGAGAGAGAGAGAGAGAGCCTGCTATGAGCCAACAGATAGAGCTCAAGGCGGGCTCAGGGAGAGCAATACAAAAGAGGGTAAGATACGAATACATGAGTTTAAGACTAAAGATTTCTACGAAAGAGAGTTACAGAACATAACAGAAGTGAGAGAGCCGGAAAAAGAGAGAGCGCGAGAGAGCGCGAGAGAGAGCGAGAGAGAGAGAGAGCGAGAGAGAGAGAGAGAGAGAGAGAGAAAGCGAGCTCTTCTATACCACTACTTATATAACCTATACCTTTGAATATTCTATTCCTTTACTAACCAATCTTTCTAAGTATACTAATATAGTAACATTTGTGTACAACCTATAGAAATCGCTATTTTTGCATATTTTTAGTTATCTCAGGGTCCTTCAGACCTTTCCTTATAAGGCTGGGATGAGGGGTCTCAGCTTGGTTTTATTGCAGGAAAGAATGTGTTCTGGCATACCAGCCCGGTTTCTTTGAATTATTCAAATCATGCTATCATTTGTATTTCTTCCTTAGCCTTTCTGGCTACAAAGTCATATTTATAATTTCTTTCTAATTCTACCTTCCCAACATCTCCCCCGTTTTGTCTATGAATAACTAAGATATTAGATACGGTTCTACTCATTAGTTTCTGCATGCATTGGAGTATACAAGGTATAGCTATTAAAACTACAATTATCACTATCAAAATAATCAAGCTTATTTTACAAAGTTCCTTAAGCCAGGGTGCAAAGCTCCAATTATCAAACAAACCATCTAGCCAAGATGGGTCACTGATTGTGATTTGGTCTGCTAAGTCTCTTAGATTTTGCAGCTGTCTATGGATGGAGACAGAATGATCTGATAAATTCATGCAACATAAGCCTTGAAAATCCTCACAGCCATGTCCATGAGCCAGTAAAAGGTAATCAATGGCTGCTCTATTTTGTAATGTGGCATGTCTGATTGCTTCTTCATCTGTCAGTAGATCACTTATCATGACTGACGTGGCATTTACTTCTTTACTGAGCTAACAGCCTAACTTATTCAACTGTTTCAATGCAATTGCGGAACTTAATTGGGGTAAAAAGATACTCGCAGCAATAGATTCTCCAGAATTCCAAGGCTGAAAGTTGCTGTCACAATCATTCTCATATTTATTTCCTGTGGGGGATCTACTTTTTCTGTTTTTCTTTTTGACTACTTCTTTAACACTGGGAGCGATTACTGTAAGCTGTGCCAGGGCACAAGGGCCACCCTCTATATTCGAGGGTATGCCTTGCCAAGCTCTGTCTCCACAGATGAGCCAAATTCCTTTTGGAAAACGTATAGGTAATTTGCTAAATTGTTTTCCATAAGGTTGAACATATGAAATGAGCTTATTTTGATGACACCAGAAAGTCACATTACTATAAACTGGATGGTATGGGGTGACATTTAAATGAGGACCCTCTCCTTCCATGAGAAGAAAGCTGTAACAGATATCCATAGTTACTGAGCCTAGGATTTCAAGTTCTTGGATTTCAGATTCATGAACTTTAGAATTGTCAATATAAGTTTGGTGTTTTTGGGTAGGATCTAAAGCTTCAGGGTGATCATCATATGGCCAATATCTCTCAAAGGTAACATTATCAAAACCTTCTGGAAAAGGTACCCCAACTAGACAAGTCGAGAAAGGTTTGTCAGGGCTTGTGTCAGATAAACATATAGTGTCAGAACCTGCAGACCTGGCTAAAGAAACCCATACATTAGTTTTTGGTTGATTCACAGGTAAGGCTTCACTATACAGATTAAAAAAAAAAGATAAAAACAACATGCACTTGGGTAAACGACAGAACTCTTTTATATTCTTGGCGGGGACCCACTTGAGTCCTCTATCTGTGGAAACACACGCATACCCTTTTCCCCATGTTATAAGATGATATGGTCCTTCTATTTGTCCTGATTCTAGATTTTTAATCAAAACTGGAGGGTGCTCTTTCAATTTTGCTTTTTTGTTGTTTGAAAAGTGTCTGTAAATCGGGGGGTCTGGCTCTTCTGCAGAGCTGTTCAGAAAATTATAAACATACAAAGCCTTATTCAACCTTCTTTGAGGTGAAGTCAAGGCTTCTCCCCCTTTTTGTTGATCTAAGATGCGTTTTAGGGTTTGATGTGTTCTTTCTATTATCCCTTGACCTGTGGGGGAATGAGGAATACCGAATATGTGACGAACACCCCAATCATTAAGAAATGCAGCTAGTTCTTGCGAAGCATATGAAGGACCATTATCAGTCTTAATTTCTTGGGGGATACCCAAATAGGAGAAGGCTTGTGAAAAATGCTGACACACATGTTTCGCTGCCTCTCCTGTGTGTACAGACGCAAAAACTGCATTGGAGAAGGTGTCCACAGAAACATGGATATTTTTAAGTTTCCCAAAGGAGGGATACTTAGTAACATCCGTTTGCCATTTCTGCAAGCTCTCCAGACCCCTTGGGTTGGTACCTCCTGGTGCATGGAGTGGTTGTACAAGTTGACAATCAGGACAAGCTCGTACAATATTTTGTGCTTGCTCCAAGGTGATATGAAAATCTCTTTTGATTGCCTGTGCATTTTGGTGAAAAAATGCATGGCTTAATTTGGCTTGTTCAATAGTATTTGGCAGGGTAGTTGCAACAAGCATTGAGATATCCTTCTCAAGGCTTATTGGAACTTCCTCATCAGATGTAGCGGATGCCAACGTATCCGCTCGAGCATTTCCTTCTGCCATGAATCCTGGAAGACCTGAATGAGCCCTAATGTGAGAGACAAAGTAAGGATTAGTCCTGTGAGATAGAATTTGATAGAGACAGGTGAGCCAGAGACACAATTTGTCATTATTCACATCTTTTAAAACAGATCCTTCAATCCTTTTGATAATGCCAGCAACATATGCTGAATCTGTGATCAAATTAAGAGGTTCTGGGAAGAGTTGAAAAACTCTTACTACTGCTGCCAATTCTACAATTTGAGGGGAGCCTTCAACTTTCTGAATGTCTTGTTCCCAGGCTTTGGTATCTTTGTTCTGCCACGTAACTACTGAGTTATGCGTTTGTCCTGACCCGTCAGTGAATACTGTAATCGCATCTAAAGGTTCTTCACTGATCAGGGGTTTTTCTTTGTAGCATAATTTAGCTTTGATAATTTTATGTGCTGGGTAATGAATTGAACAAATGCCTGGAAAATCAAGCAAAGCATACATTAGATCTTCGGACTTCAGCATGGCCCATTCAAAATAAGATTTTTTCATGGGCAGATAAATAATTGCAAATTCCTGACCAGCTATGGAGAGAAGCCTGGCTCGGCCTTTGATAATGATCTGAGACATCATTTCTAAAGGTGTGAGTATTGTCTTTGGCGACCTGTAAGAGATGAAAACCCATTCAATTATTATCAGTGGATCTTTTTGAGAGGGATTCCATTGGAAGATAAGGCCACACAGTCTCAATTCTTCTCCTAGGACTGCAAGAAAAAAGGATTTATCAGGAATACAGCGGTGTGCTTGTCTGGTACGCAAGGCATCGGTAACTTTTTCTAAAGCCTTACAAGCCTCAGGAGTGAGGGACCTAGGGGATTTAATGTTATTATCTCCTCTCAGCAAATCAAAGAGTGGAGCAAGTTCATCGGCAGTGATACCTAACACAGACCTAACCCAATTAATTTCCCCTAAAAGCTTTTGTAAGTCCTGTAAGGTTCGAACTTCAGTTTGGACTTGTATCTTCTGAGGTACAATGGATTGTTCTGTTAGCTTCCAGCCTAGATATTTCCAGGGAGCAATTTCTTGAATTTTTGATTCAGAGATCACCAGTCCTGCCTTTTGGATTTCAGCAACAACACTGTCGCGAGTCTCTTCCATTTGTTTTTGTGTTGGAGCTGCAACAAGTAGGTCATCCATGTAGTGGATAATAACTGACTGCGGGAATTGCTCACGGACTGGAGACAAGGCACGAGCTACAAAAGATTGGCATATTGTCGGCGAATTTCGCATGCCTTGAGGTAGTACTTTCCAGTGATACCTTTGAAGCGGTTCCTGCAAGTTTATACTTGGTACTGAGAATGCAAAACGAGGGGCATCATCTGGATGCAAAGGAATGTTGAAGAAACAATCTTTCAAATCAATGATCACAAGGGGCCAATTTCTTGGGACCATAGAGAGGTTGGGGAGGCCCGGTTGGAGAGGGCCCATGTTTTCAATAACTTCATTAATTTTTCTGAGATCATGCAGCAACCGCCAGGTATCAGAGGTTTTCTTATGGATGACAAATACAGGTGAATTCCAGGGGCTGTTAGTAGGTGTGATGTGGCCTTTTTGTAGCTGTTCAGCCACTAGATTCTTAAGGACACTCAGCTTATTACTCGGTAGGGGCCACTGATCAATCCAGATGGGGGTGTCTGTTTTCCAGGTCAATTTCATGGTGCTGAGTGTTTCAGTGACCCCTATGAAAAATCCAATTCAATTTTGGCTCCCCACTGAGAAAGCAAATCTCTTCCCCACACCGTGATATGTCTCTGCACAACATAGGGACGGAGTAATGCCTTTTTCCCTTGCGGTCCAATGATACTGATTTCAAATTTGCTCTGTAGGCACGGAGTGACACCTCCAATGCCTGTAAGAGCACCTGGGGGAGTTATTAGTTTCCATTCTGCTGGCCAATATTGATAAGAGATCACAGTGACATCTGCACCTGTGTCTATCATTCCCTTAATGTTAACATGAATTTCACCATGCGACAGTGCACAGATTAGCATTGGTCGCTGAGAGTTTATTTGTTGGACCCAAAAGACTTCAGGATTTTCGTGTGCATCTGAGGACTCGCAAGGTGGCATTTGATCCGTGGTTCCCATATACAGTGCTATAGCGATAGCTATAGGAGTTCCAGGTGGGATATGTAGCGGGGGATAGCAGGCACTAGCCGGTACAAGCATTTCTTCATTGCAGTTAACAGATATTACACAAGGTAAAACGAGCAGCCCAAGTATACCATTTCTCTCCTTACCAATAATTAGAAAGTCTTGCCTACCCTGAGAAGTCCCAGTAATCCCTGTTGAAATAAGGTCATAGCTGTTCTCCCTTAGAAAGGTTGTTGGGTTGGAGGATGCCAGAGTGCACCAGAACCCTGGGGGTAATAAAGCTGGTTTGTTGCCTGAGGGTCTACTGGTGTCAAAGTGCAAGGTTTCACAGTCGGGGCATTTGTCGATTCTCCCTTGGGTGTCTGAAATGTCACTACTTGTTTCGTAGCGCGGTGACAATGCGCGCTCGTTTTGAAGTTTTTTGAAATATCTTTTCTGCCTATATCATATCTGTTTCGGCGTTGCAAAGGATGATGGCTTCCCTTCTTGTAGGCGGGACCTTGGCCAAATGTTGGATTAGCTCTTTTGGCCTCTGGGCAGTTTTTTACAAAATGCCCAGGCTTCTTGCAGAAATAGCAATGTCCCGAAGGGAATGCTGCAGCAGGCATCACAGCCATAGGGGTATTCTGTGAATTCAGGTGTAGCGCAGTTAGGATTTCAGTGAGCTTTTGATCTCGTGCCTCTGCTTGAGCCGCGATTACTGCAGCTTGTGATGTTTGTGCTAAAAGAGCTTTTTCCAGCTTCTCCCCTAAGGTTCTCCCCAATTCAGTTGCTTGAATTGCTGCGACATGTTGTGGACTTCCTATTTTGTTACAAGCGTCTATCATTTCTGGCACTGTTGGCTTTTCTTTTCCCAGGGCTTTGATCACCTTCTTACATTCGGCATTAGCATTATTTTCGATAATGTCCCGTATCATAATTGGACGGGCTATATCATCACCACACTGGCGTTCAGCAGCTTGAATTACATGATCCACAAATGTTGTGAATGGCTCAGAGGCTTCTTGGCTAATAAGGTTATAAGCTTTTTCAAAAGTTCCAGCAGGCTGAATTTGCAAAAAGGCTCGGCGTGCCATTTTTTTGATGTCATCTAATGCTACCCTAGGCAGGTTTATCTGATTTTCATTTCGGTCATCTGGAGGTTCACCTGTGAGCTTTGACAGGGTGAGAGCATGCAAATCTGGATCATTACTACGTCTATAATTGTCCAATACATTTCTGAGTAGTCTCTTCCATTTCAATTCCCATAGCATAAATTGCGAATCTGTAAGGGTGATGCTAGCAAGATTTTTGCAGTCATTGGGTGTGAGAGTATGCTCTTCTAGTGTACTTTTCAGTAGTTGTTTAAAATATGGAGAGCAAATGCCACTGTCCTTTATCGCTTTTCGCAGTTCTTTTATCTCCTGGGGTGGAATAGCTGTCCATGTTCTTGGACCGCCCGCCTGCTGACTAAATAACACCGGCATTGCTAGGGGGTTTATGTTTTCTTCTTTGCAAATTTGTCTTTTGACTTCCAGCCAGTTTGTAAGTTGGCTATCATCATAACATTCTTGGGAATTTATGTGTAGTGGAGGTTCGGATTTTACAATCTCACTTTGAAGTGGTAAAGTCAGGGGATTAGCTGTTGCATGCATAGAATAGTTCACTGTCTCTCCTGTATTTATTAATGCAGATACTGTGTTAGAAATTCCCCCTTCCTTTTGTACCTTTTGTG